AGGAGCGTTCTCCTCTCCAGGCGGAGCAACCCCAGCTCTCTCAGCCTGTCCTCATAGAGGAGGGGCTCCATCCCTCTGATCATCTTTGTGGCCCTGTTCTGGACCCGTTCCAACAGGCTCATGTCCTCCCTGTGTTGAGGACTCCAGAGCTGGACACAGAACTCCAGGTGGGGTCTCGCAAGCGCAGAGTAGAGGGGCAGAATCACCACACTTAATAACAGAGGTGACAGACTCAGTAACCAGTTTCTTTAGCTATACAGGCCTATAAGTTACTTCCCTCATCTTTTACTGCAGTCTTGAATCAAAATATCCAAAATTTGGCATTTTGCCATCACATTGAAAAGAGCAGCATAGACTCTCGTTATGATTAAGCACAAGAGCAGTGTAATTCTGTGCTATTGCTGAAACAATCACCAAAGGGAAGGAGAAGTCAATTTTCCCTACACCAGAACAGAAGATGCTTTACTTTGCTCTCCCTAAGCAACTAATTTCATATGACTACTTAATGTATAGGGAAGAATGTTGAAAACACAAGAGCTGCAATTAAAGTTCTCTTACCTGCTGTGCAGGACTCAGGCTGAGAACACGCAGAAGCAGGGCTGGTGTGTTACAGCTGTGTTATGTGTTACGGGACGCAAGACAATACCCGCATCACAGATCAAATGCAAACAATTTTTAAAAACAACAGAAAAATAAGAGAATACGAGAAGACGGCACGGGCACACCACTGGGCAGATAAACCCTGCATTCCAACAGCAACAATAATCTCCACAGATGGCCCTTCACACTTGCACAGAATTTCAAGAAAGCTTTTCCAAAAGAGCAAACATGAAACTTGTACCCACCCAGCCGTGGGATCCGGACCCCAACTTTAGTGTTCTGACACCAGCTCCACTGCTATAAATATCTATGCAAACGAGTAGTTCATTCGTTCTAATTGGTCTGCTGGTGACTAGAGTTAATAACAGAGGCAAAACTTTCCAGGATGGGGCTTGCTGTTAAAAAAAACAACCAAACTTTAAAGTTTAGCATTTATAAACACACTTTAGCCACTCCCATGCGTTAACAGCCTATGCATCTTGGGTTTAGTATTTTAAGTTATTATGCGATGCTGAAGTTGTTAGCACAGTAGTTGCTGGCTTTTTTTTACTAAAATGAAATTTTAAAACATTACAAGCCTGCACTCTGTTGCAAGGGTAGAGGTTTCCCATCAAACATCTATGTCAATTAGACATGACTAAAAATAAACACTACTACACATAATGAAACTAAGGTTCCACTTGAACATACTATGGCAGAAATCTGATTTACTTTGTAGCACATGGCCAAAAAGGGCAAAGTAAGAACTGTTTCCATAAAAGTGACTAGAAATCATGTTAAAATCTTGATCCATAGGATCCACATGGCAAAGCAAGATCTGAAGCAGTTCATTTATAATCAACTCTGGCACTTTTATGTCTGCAACTGTGCAATTGCTATCTCCACCTCATTTACTAAGGCTTTTAATTTTCTTTTTCCTTTTCTCTCCATGCCAGAAAGGAACAAACTCTTATGCAAACTTTCTCTAGACTCACACTGAAAATAATCCTTTAAAACCCTATAAACCCTCAGTTGTCCAGGAAGTGCAGCAACGCCCAAGCAATAAAATAGATTTTCTTTTTAAGTTAATACACAGTCATATAATTCTGTTTATACACATATTTAAATGTTTGTCTATTTGATTCCCTCTCTTCAGTTCAAATTCCTATCACATAGGACCCAATGTCATTTCTCTGCAATATAAAAATATTTCCCTAAATTCTTTCTAAATCTACTTACATTTCAACAGAAGTTCACCTTTTGCTTGTCCCAATAACATTCTCTCTCTTTCTCGGTATATGTATAAACAAACACCCTATAGATATATGGATTTTATAGAACTATTTGTAACATTTGACTACAAATTTATCAAAATCCAAAGACATCATTTCCAGGTCAGTTAAGAAAAGGAAATTAGAAATCTTTCTTTGTTGAAAAAATATTTTTTTCTTGAATGCACCTGCTCAAAGACCATCTTTCACATGAGTTAAGCTATTAGGTCATCAGCCTTCCCAAATAGAAAAGTTTTGAATCTCCAAAACTTCACACCAGAAAGCATATGCAATACAGCACCCTTGTGGTTCTTTAACTGGCCACAGCTGAAACTGAAATACCACCATTAAAAGACATTTCAAGTGGCAGAACATCAGAGAGAGCAAAACACAAATACCCAATGAAACTGGAAACATTGTAACACATTAACATTTTTCTTGAAAGTCCTTTTTCCTATATATAACCAACCTTCTACTCTATCCCCACAACTCTGGGTTATGATCTTTCTTCATGTACTCTAAATGAAATGCAAAGTGCTTTGGTTGTTACTCAACAACAAAAGTGTTAAAAGTTGCTTGGTTTGTTTTGGTTTGTTTTTTTCCTTATGGAAGAGTCAAGGCACATTTCCAACACAAATGTGAACCATCTACTAATTTTTGAGGCACCATCCTAAATATGACAGTGGTTTAAGGAGACAAAGTGTTTCATTTAAGCTCACCTAAATAAACACAGGTAAACAACTTGTTAACGCCACAGTCTCATTATCAGAACAGCTGAACCTCAATGAAATGCTCCCTCAAAAAACAGTCCACAGCATAGGAGATTTCAGCTTAAACAACTGAAACTATTTCCAAACATTATAAGCAATAAAAACTGGAATCTTATCACAAAGCCTTACTCAGCAGACTAGCATTACCAGCTCCAACCATGGTAACAGGTCTTACACAAGAAAAATATATTGATATACATCTTGATATATATTCTTATCACTTGACTTTTCACTCACGCAACACCTTATCAAACCTTGGTTTTCACAGAAGGGATACAATGGCAGCAAAGTGTTTTCACAGTGTCACTTGGTAATGCCCAGTTCTCCTTGCAGACCAGCTTTGTAAGGTTTACATGCTTGGGCACAGCTGTACGCTACTCAAACCCACATCATCCCTTCTTTACACACCTGCTAAATACTAAGATATTACATGCAAACAGCAAATAATAAGTAACTTCTTCCACAAATTTTCTAAGAGTATTCAAACCAAATGCAACATCTGGTTTACAGAAAAATCCTTTTTACTTAAAGCTGTGTTTAGACACAAGATGACCAAGTGATTTACCACGCTCCTGGCTCTGAGAGTATTAGAAGTAGGACTCTGATTGCAGTGCTAGCCAACATACTGCAAGCTACGTGCTTGAAGTAATTGAATGAAAAAAAATAAATAAAGTGAGATCAGGAAGGGATTTATAGATGTGACCAAAGGAAAAAAAAAAAATTTCACAACAGGTATTACATATAAAGGCACTAATTAATATGGCAGCATTTCCGTTTTTCTCATCACAGACAAAACGATTGCCTTCCCACTTGCAGAAAAGAATTTTGAAGTTATTTCTGAATGGAGAATTAGCAGTTTTGGTTCAGTCTAGAGCTTATAAAGGCTGAGGAAATAGCAGATTTCCACTGAGGAAATAGCAGATTTTGGCTGAGGAAATTCCTCAAATCTACTTAGTTAATACCAGTGAATATAATAATAATAATAGTAGATTGCTTTCTTTTAAAAGAGGCTGCAGATCTCTTCTGATTTGAGGCACGCTGAAGCCAAATTAACTGTTACTTGCATTTGAACAATTTCACTGTCACGTCTTAACTTCCTCCTCTCCTGAACACGTCCTCTCCAACAGAGCGAGTGAATCAGAGAGGGATTTCCAGTCTGCAGGTATTCAAAGTTCCCATTATCTTTTTATAATAGGCATTTCAATTTCAGATGATTTTGGGCATTTCTAAAGCAACTGTTTCAATAATTCTTGCATTAATAAGGTACTTTTCCTTCTTGCATTCCTGAAAGTTTTACCCAGAAATGAATCAGGTTTCCTATTTTGTTAAGAGATAAAGCAGCTACTATGAATTAATAAAATAAAAAAATACAGGGCTATTTTCAAGAAAACAGAACAGAAAACAGAAGTAATTGTCCTGTAACTACATTTAATTTTTTTACGTCACTTTAGTCCCTCTTGTTCGAAAAAGAAAGAAAAAATATGTAAGTACAAATAGTACTTTCCTTTAAAACTCAAAGCTTGCTTCACAATGGCCGTTTAGCAAATAGAGAAGTAAGAAATCATAATCATCACTAGAGAAAAATATTTCTGCTGAAGTTTATCACGGACTTAACTGCGTGCCGTCAAGGCGTTCAGCAAGCACTTTCCCTAAGCCCTTCCTAGAGATAATTGCCGATCATTGAGATCATTTGACTGAACTAATTACGTTAAGCGACTTCGTTAATATCTTCCACTTCTCACTGCAGGTAAAACGCAGGGAAAAACGCCGGCGATGAACATCGGGTTCGCGCCTCCTCCTTCTCGAAGGAAAACACTGGCCAAACCGTCAATTCCGTGAAGGGCATTTTTGGGAGGCGGTTACGTAACGCGCTCCTCCGGGGGCCACCGCAGCGCCTTTTCCCGTCCGTTCCCGGCAAACGGCAGCGCCGCGGCGGCGGAGACCGGGCTCCTTCCTCCGGGATTTCCTTTTCCCCGCTGCCAAAGGGGCGCCCCCGTCCCAAGCGTGCCCGGAGCGGGCACCGGGGGCGGTTTGTCACCGACCCCCCGGACGGGGGCATCCCCGCCTCACCTGAGGGGACCGCCGGATCCAGCGGCTCCTCCCCGGCCCCTCGCCCACCCCTAACTTTTCCGATCTCTCTCGCCGCCGCGGTCCCCGCCACACTCACCCGGCGGGACCCCGGTAGCGTCTATCGAGCCCCGCTCGGAGCAGGTGCGCGGCGCTGCCCCCGGTTCCCCTCTCCCCGGCCGCCTCCCGAGCCGGCGGGTCGGGCAGGTGCCTCTCCTCCGGGCGGGCACCAACCGCTCGGGCGGGCTCGCTGCCTCCCTGCCCACAGGAAGGCGCGGGGGGCAGTGACCCCCGCCCCCGGAGAGCCGCTCACCTCCCGGGCTGCTGCTGCCGCTGCTGCTGCCGCCCCTGAGGAGTCTCGTCCTCCTCCTCCTCCTCCTCCATGGTGCCGCCCCACCCCCTGCGCGGCGGCTCCGCGGCTCTCCAGCAGGAGCCGTTGAAGGGCTGCGGCCTGCCCCCCGACCAGCCGGCCGCCGAGGGCAGCGCGGCCAGCTGCAGGCAGCAGCTCCACAGCGCCCTGCTCCGCATCATGGCGCGGCGGGGCTCCGCTGGCCCCGGGGCCGGGCGAGGGCCGGCGGGCGGCAAGGGAGCAAGATGGCGGCGGGGGGGGGCCTGCGCTGAGTGAGCGGCGGCGGCCGGACCTCCCCAGGCCCGCAGCCACGGCGGGACAGCGCCGGGGCTGGCACCGCGTCCCCGGCCGGCCCCGGGGGAGGGGAAGGACTCAGTTGTGCACCTGTCCGGCTCCCATGGCGGGCAAGGGCTGGCCGCAGTCCCACCGGGGAGTAGGGAGCCCCGGCCGCCCGGTGGAAAGTTTCCTAGACTTGAGTTTTCTCAGGAACCTGAAGCGGGGCCGCCATCACCGACGGGCACCGCTCTCACAGGAGGCAGGACGCCCGGTGAGGCCAGGCATGGCCGCCCGCAGAGCGGCCCACCCGGCAGGGCCCCGTGTCGCCATGGTCCTTTCCCCACGTTAGGAAGTCAAAGCTCCCGCCAGAGTTCCTCCACCTTCTGGATCCCGGCCATCCCCTGGTCACCCCTGTGAGTAGCTCACACCCGACGGGCTGGGGCGTGAGGGGCTTAGAGGCACCCAATCCAGAGAAATTAGGTTCTCACAAATAAATATGGTTGTTTGGGTTTTTTTTAATCTTTCCTTACTTCCCTTAGTACATAGTACAATGAAAGGTACAGGGCAAAGCTATGCAACTGTGATACGAAAAAAAAAATATAAAAATCATATATGGCAGCAATATGAAATCAAAGACTATGGGGAGCTCTGATAATACATTTGTGTACATTTTACCCTGAAGCTCAGGAATGGATGTCCAGTTTATTAGTGAAGAAATCTTACCGATGTTCAGAGGCCAAGTTCTCAAGGCAGGTCTTGGGAGGCTAGAAACAGCCTTGCTCTTGTCATTAATCTAGCCTTCTCTCAGTCTCTGTAAGGTAGAGGAAGGATATTACCATCAAGTTATCTTGTTCTGTATGAGGAAGACAGGTGTGTTTTGGTTGCTTATGATCAGGCAGATTTGTTGACTTTTGCCAGTCGAAAATCCTAATTGATTTCTTACTTCCGGCTCTTCTCACCAAAGGATCTCCTGATCCTTTAATCTCCTCCCAGTAACCCTGGTGCTAAGCTGGCCTTGTAGTAGCATTGATTTTTACTCATATGTTATTAAACAAAAATCTATATTGATTGAAGTTATTTCTACTATTACTTTATGGACTCTAAGACCTACTAAATGAGTTAGATGTGTTAGATTTAGACCTACTAAATGAGCAGATAAAGCTGTTCTCTGTAGCTCTGATCAATGCCCGTTAACAGTTAGTAATAATTAGTGCCTGCTTACAGAAATTTGTGTAAGCCAGCAGGTAAATGCCTTCAGGCTGGTAGTAACTGATTGCCAACAGTAGTGGATTTGGGATGTTCGCCCTACACGTCAGCTGAGTATCTCCCAGCAGGTAGACCTGCCTCCACATGTCATTCGGAAGTGGTTTGTATGTCACTAGTGCTGCAAAAACCACAGTTCAGGAGGTTCTCTGTTTTAGTAAATGCATTTTGTCTGTACTACAAATGTAGGTGTCAACATTTGGAGGCTGTAAGTGAAGACAGCTGATGTCTATGCAGCATGCAGTTTTCAATTTGAAAGGGATACATTTTTCTGGTGTAACAACTGGTGAAGCATTATACGGTTGTTCAAGTAATTTCTGGCACAGACAGAAGCGTGTATCAGCACCTATTACCTACTTTTGCATGCCAACGTGCACAACATGAGAAAATTCAACTTCAGAGATGCTCTTCAACAGAGCCAGAATTTTAAACTAGTTTCCTGCTTCAGTATTCCCACGAGCCAGCTAAGATCTCAGTCTAGTCCTGCTGCTTTGGTGGGTTTTGATCTTTCAATGTCTTTTGCACACAAATGCATTTAAACCAAGGAAAAGTCCCAGTGGGACATCTGTGCTCAACTAGTTGTGTAAACCCAGAACAGAGATCTCTCTGACTCCTAATACACCCCAGACATGCTAATATGCTTAGAGGACTGATGTTAGGATCCTGCAGGAGTTGGAGGCCAGAAGTTAGTAACAGATGGGAAAGTTCCAGCCATGTGTGCATGAGGTAAGAGTTTTTTTCTTGGCACCTAGTCCTAAGAAATGGAGTTTTAATAATTGTATTTTCTTCAGTGGCATGCATTTCTGGCATTTTTACTACTCAGACTGGCCCTATATATTGTCCGCTATATGTGGAAATGAAAAAGATTTGGGAGCTCCTTTGTACTGCAGAGAGGCACAGATACTGAGGAATAGCAAAGAGGGGTTATTTGGGGGGGCAGTGCATTTTATTTTCTCACAGTGGAATTTAACAGCTGAAACAGAATATTTTTTTATTGAAGAAGTTTTTGGGGTATACCATTTCATTAACCACTTGGAAGGATAAGTTCATTAATGTAGCTAAATCTGCTTAATGCAGCAACCTATATCTTAATTAGAATCACACAGTTAGTATTTCATGAATTGTACCCGCAGTGGTGTCTTTCCCTTGGAGATAGTGTATGCATTAATCATGGGCAGGACAGCTTAACTAACTTGATTATGAAACTTCTCCTGATGAAGGGTTTAACCATCTATGCAATCAAAGTTTATTGCTATTTTGTTTAGATCTCTAAAGTATAGAATTAATATCTTTTTCACAAAGTTTAATTTAGTCAGTTGATATAAACTGTGTCAGAGCAAGACATTCATTGTCTTGGGCAGCAACCAAAGCACTATCTAAAGCAGGAAAAATTAAAAATTCTTACAGTTACATTTTTTCATAGATTTATAACTGAGCTGTCTTAACTTGATTGAAAATCCTGCTAGATAACAAAATAAAAAATGTTGTACCACCTCTTGCTCCACTGTAGAATATCAAGTCATAGTTCAAAATCCCTTTAGACTTAGGCTTGCCATATACTAGGCAATGTTTACTGTTATAGTGCAGCTGCAGTTTATGGCAGCAAGAAAGCACATTTGCTGGAACAGTCTGTGATGGATCTCCGAGTGAAATAAACCATCCTAGCAAAGAAAATTTTCACCACTCTAATATTATCTATATTAAAAATGTTACTAGCATGTTGCATCAAAAGAAATTCTGCTAGGCTAGTAAAAGTCTCTCTGGTAAAACTGGCCCATATCAGGACATAATCAAAATGCCTAACCTAGCCCTTCTAATTACAGTGTGGAGAGGACACTACCCTTACAGTACTTCTCATGGAGCTTGTATCTCTATAGCTTCTACTGAGGGGACACAACTGGGGAAAGGCAACAGCTGGAACCATAACAGAGACTTTCAGGCTGTGCTACGCTAGGAACAGGCCAGGAGCCTTCTCCAGCCCTGACACCGGGTTCTGCAATGCTTGTATTTTCATACAGATAAACCTCTTTAACCTTGGCCTTACAGGAATTGCTGTTGAAAGTGTACCCTGGCCCCCACTAATCCCCGAGGTGTTCTTGGGCGCTCCCCGGGAGAACGCTGAGCTCAGGGAGCAACCTTTGCCAGCAATTTAAGGGTTGTCAATGAAGGCATGGCAATGCCCAGGTCTGTGCCCTGGCTCACTGGAACAAATCCAGCCTCAGACAACACCTGATTTTGAGATTTAACAGTGTCTCTCAGGGGAAATTACAGTTGTTACATTTGTTTCCAAAACCGGTGAAGCTTGGCAGTGTCATCCTGAACAAGCCCCACCGTGCGATGAGGCTGTTGCAGACTGGTAATGTACTGTAATATTGCACAGCAATTTGCAAAATTACTGTCATTAAATTTTAGGAAATTAAACTACAGTGTCTAAAAGGGCCTGTCCAGATGCAGATTTCTTTGTGCAGAAAGAATAATCTTTGCCCTTTTGCAATTGAATTTGTAATTGCGTGTAAGATACAGCAACTGATTTAATAAACAGGAAAAAGACATTCTGGATGTACAAAGGAGGAAAACCCAATCAGAATATGTAGGGTAACTCCTAACATGATTAGGTTGTTATAAATATCTTGACTTTTCATTGCAAATTAGAAATCATAGAATATTGTGCTGCTTTCATTGCAGGCAAGATGATGACAAACTGTTTCTTTGTGTTTAAATGCATTACTGAAACGTGTCCCTCTACACAATAATTTTAGACTGATATTAAAATGGATTGAGCTTGGAATTATCCTTTATTTCAGGGAGTATTTATTACACATAGTAGCATGGTTTGAATGTGTATATTAGCAACTGTTAAGATCTTAGCTATACCTTCTAGTTTCATTCCTGATATGACCAGATCACTGTCTGTATATATAATGGACCTTCTTCTCATGCCATTTATATCTCTGTGGTTTCATTTTTTTGTGGTTGTAAGAAGTATTTGACCGTATCTCAGTACTTTTATTCACCACAGAGCAAGTGGGTTACTGTGGGGCAGATACACATCATCTAACAACCCCGATGCTGGGTCTCAGTGGGTCGTTAAGATGGTCTGGCCACCTTCACGGCTGTGAGTGTGGCCCTTTGGCAGGGAATGCCCGTTTGGAGTCCTCTGTAATTGTGGGAGAAAAATTCACCCTGCCAAGGCACCGCTTGCTTGTTTGGCACACGGTCAGCCAGCAAAATAAGAGGGCTACTCGCTGGCAGCACTACAGAGTGCTCGGAGAGGGACAAGATGCAAGTGTGTAGGAAGGGAAGGAGGCGTGGTATAAGAATATGGAAGAATATACTCTTAAGTACTTAATGGTGTAAATATTCTGGCTGGGGGTGTTCCAGGCTGCAAACACCTGCTGAAGGAATATCTAGAGTGCCTGAAGAAAATGCTGGAAGGGTGCACAGGCCTGAGTTTTCACCAGCAGTGTCCCAAATAGGTTGCTCCCAGGAGGATTTTTGGGGTGCACCAATACTGTGATGAGCTGATTGTGGGAGTGTGACATGTCAGTTCAACTACATGCTTTATAGGAGCTGTCTGTAAAGCTGCAGAGTGTTAAAACTGTTTCTTCCTTCTCATGTTTGAATATAACACCTTTTAAGTCTTACAGACAGACAA